GAATGTATTTTAAGAGTCGTATGAAAACAATCTTTTATGTTAAATTATTTTGTTTTTCATAATATTAGTTTGTTTGATGACAGGTTTGTTATATACACGCCCCCCTCTCCGGGTTATTGAGTGTCTATTCCGCCAAATTATTTTACCGTGTAAAAATCTTTATATGGTTAATACTACTCAAGAGCAATATATTCCTTTCTTCGATTATTTGAAAGTCACCAGTATATTTTATTTCTTTCCCATCCATAGTTCATGATTCTTGTATGTCCTCTTGAAATATGAAAATTTTGTTTTGATTTGTTATTTGAATTCATTATAATCACAATAATGATTCCAAATTTTAAACTATGCTTTATAATTATTCTATATGTGATTTGACCGTTTACAAAAGAAACTTCCTTTATATGATCAAAACATCCATTTTTTGTTTAAATGGTTATTTATGACTTCATTTGTTGATTTGTTTTTATCGAAAACTCTTTTTTGCATGATTCCACCATTTTTTCTCTTTTGATTCATAAAATTTAATTTTATTATACTACATGTTTTATTTAGCTTTATTTTTAACACCTTATTTATACGTGACATATCATTAGTTTCATCACTTATCGTTGTTTATTGAGTGATATACAAGCATATCTTTCATTTATGCTTGCACCATTGTTTTGTCCGGTTTTCATAATTGTCAATATTTTTCATATGACAATTGATAGGGGACAATCCCATACATTTATACTCACCTATCTTATGATAGGGGGAGCTTCGCTCTCTACTCGTTTTGTTTCCTAACCATTTCTTATGTTCCAAAAGGGAAAACATGGTTTCGTCAATATATTTACAGAGTATTATTTTTTTTATATCTTAATATACTCTTTGTGTAATTTTGTCATCATCACAAAAGGGTGAGATTGTAGATCCATGTATGACCTATATCTTCTAATCATTGTTTTGATGATTACAAAACAATTCCTAATGTTGTTGTCTAGGTTTATATTTCTTATCAGCTATTTTAACAAACAATTATTTGGATGATGATTGAATTGCGTCATTCAACTATCATATCCAATGGAGGTTGCGAGTATGTTGAAGCCTTGCATCATTAAAGATCCCAAGTCAACTTCATCCGCCAATATGTACCAAGATAAGCTTCGTGTAAACAAAAAACGAACTGGTATATTTAGTTTAGGTTTTAACTTGTGTTTAATTACTTTAAGCTCAATATTAATCACACAACACGTATTTGTGATTTTATCAAACCATAAAATTTTGATAAATATGTTTATTATTATAAACTTCATATCAAGTTTAATACATATTTATAAGTCTAAAAATCATTTTAACTTAAGTTTCAAAACATGTTCCTATGTCAAATACATTAATTTACCTTTTCTGTTTTGACTATTTTTATAAAATAGGTTTTCACATTAGGAAGTCATATTCCAAAAATCTTTTTGTAACATGTTATTATCATGTTATTATAATATTTCCCAAATTTATCATAATTTTTGGAATTTATTTGTTATTTTTAAAGGCACTTTAAAAATCAGTTTTTCAACATGAACAGTACCTGTGCACGTTTATAAGTCGACTTATAAACCCTGACAAGTCGACTTATGAACTACTCTGGAATGTGCAAAAACTCTCTGCCATGTCGACTTACTCGAACTGTTAAGTCGACTTATACCAAGTCGACTTATGTCATTTTCTAAGTCGACTTATGAAGTGTTACAGAGTTATGTATTTTTGACCAGTTTACAAAATAAATTATTTCTCTCAAATGGAAAGTGATATTTAAGAAATTCTTTCTCTAACATGTTCATATACATGTTTAGAAGCTTCTCTAAATTTTCATGATTTTTGGAGTTGATTTACTGTGTCAAATTGATTTTATAAAATCGGGTGTTTCAGCAGTTTTTAGAATCTGAAATATCTATGTTCAAATATTTATTTCTCACAAATGAGAAGTGATATTTCATAAATTCTTTTTGTAAAATGTTTATCTACATGTTTAAAAACATCCCTCAAAATTTCATAATGTTTGAGTTGATTTACTATTTTTTATTGATTTTAAAAAACTAGATACACAAAATTCTAGAACTGCCGTTACTGTTCCAACGGCTATATGCAAGTCGACTTACTCTCTCCTCAAGTCGACTTAACAGTGCTTTTCAGCTTATAACGGCTAGTTTTCCAGATTTTATGGTTTTTGGCTTTTTGCTTGATTTTTCTTGGTTTTTGGGGTTGTTTCATGAGCCTATAAATACCCCATGCCCTCATACTTCTAAAACAACCAAGAGAATTGTTTAAACAAGTTTAAGGGTGTTTTGTGTTTGTTTAAAAGAGTGTTTAAGAGTTTTGTTTGTGAAGCAAATTTCACAAGAGCAAGTGGAGATCATCCTTTGGTGTTTGAGCATTCACTCTTCTCCCTCTCTCTTGTCATCTATAGAGAAGTTTTCTTAAACTCAATTCTAGCATTTTATAAGTTTGCTCTTAATTTCATAAGCTAGATTTCATATTGAGTTTATATTGTTTTATCTCTTTGATCACACACAACCTATTGAGCTTATTGTATTTTCATACTTAGTATAATTTGGGTTGTGGGATTGTGTGACTTAGAGTGTGAGCCTACATTGTGTTCTCATCCATTATAGAGAACAATTTATTTGTATTGAGCCAAATTGTGGGGATTCACTTTGTATTATACTAGTACACCAAGAGGAGTGTGTGGTGAGAAACGGGGTCGTCCCAAGAGGAGTGGGGTAGGTGATAATGCCTAGAGAGAGGTTATAATTCCTAACACTTGAGGGAGACACGGGCTAGAGACTAACACTTGAGGTGGTAGTTAGTGTAGTTACATTGTGAGTGATTGTAAAGTTTTCGGTTAGCTAGAAAACCGTATTGTGAGGTGTAAACGTTTTTCGGGTAAGCGTAGAAAACCCGGTGTGATAGTGGAGATCTCCTCGAGGTGAGGAGCGGGGACGTAGGTCAGGCGGACCGAACCTCGTGAACATATGATTTGTTTGTGATTGCATTGGCGTACTTTTATATTCGTGCTTATTATTCATATTGCCTTTGTCAATTGCTCATTGTTTATTTTACCCACTATCTAGTTTTGTTTGTTCACCCTTGTGTTAACTTGTATATCCTTGCTCACATATTGTTCATAAGTCATTTGCTAGGATATATTTGTTAATAAGTTTTAAATTGGCATAAATCAGATTAGATTAGCATAAACCCTATTCACCCCCCTCTAGGGTTCCTTCCTAGCGGTATTAGGGTACTTTCATCTTACACTGATTCTTGCAGTGTCCGGTCTTTCCACAATTCCATCACTCGATAGTCTTCGAGCCGTTGCTTGGATTCCTTAACTTGGACCTCCTGTCCTTTGATCTACCTCTGTAGTTTGATTTACCTTGTCCGTTCCCTCTGGTTGAATTTCTACCTCTTGACTATGTATGTAATACTGAAGAGGTTGTAGCTTCACCCGACTCTCTCCGTCGGATCTCCTCACTGAGAACCAGATCACGAACGTCATCGAACTTCAACTTGTTGCTTCCCGACTAGCTACTCACAACTGTGACTATAGCGTTCCAACTCTCTGGTAGGGAGGACAAAAGTATCAATGCCCGAACTTCTTCATCAAACTCAATTTCAACTGAACTCAATTGGGTTGTGACCGTGTTGAGTTCATTGAGGTGTTGTGCTACTGACGTGCCTTCCGCCATTCTCAGATTGAATAACCGCCGCATCAAATGAACTTTGTTCGTGGCTGATAGCTTCTCATACATATTTGAGAGTGCTGCCATAAGACCCGTCGTGGTCTTCTCCTTCGCTATGTTGAACGCAACATTGTAGATCAACGTCAATCGGATAACACCGAGGGCTTGTCTGTCTAGAAGGATCCACTCATCTTCCTTCATCGACTCTGGCTTCTTTCCCGATAGTGATTGATACAAATTTTTCTGATACAGATAATCCTCTATCTGTATATTTTAGAATCCGAAATTTGTCCATCAAACTTCTCAAGTCTCATTTTTCCTTCATCTACAGCCATGGCTCCCACTCGAATCTGACTTCCTCTAGATCGTTTCACGTTCTGATACCAGTTGTTGGGAATCTACGCCGAAACCCCTAAGACAGCAGAAACGGGGTATAGAGAAAAGTACACCAAGTTTTAACGAGGTTCGGCAACTGCCTATGTCCTCGGGAGCCACACAGTAAATTTCTTATTTAATCAAACAAGAAATTATAAACTTAGAGCAGATCTCAAACTTGAGATCTCTCAATAAATAATAATTAATACTATAGCTACAGTATTAATCTCTCTCTCAAATACCCCTATTTAATTCTCTCTTAAATAGAGAATATTCCAACAATTCCTTTCTTAAATCTCTCTAAAAACCGCTGGAGGAGAAAAAGGATCGGGAGAGAAGAGAGAGAGAAGCCACCGACGAGAAAACACGAGGAGAGAGAGGAGAGAAACACACGGGCTAGGGCACATGGTTTCCCTTTTATAGGGAAACCCTAGGACAGTTGGCGACAGGCTGTCGTTGCCTGTCAACGATCTCGCCTGCGAGGAGCTCGAGCTCGCCTGCTCTCGACTCCGCCTGCAGACCCCCAAACTCGAGCTTGTCTGTCTCTTGTCAAGCTCGCGTGCATCAACACAGACTTCGCCTGCTCGAACTCGCCTTCTTCTGGACTTCGCCCGCTCGCCTACAGATCTTGCCTGCAGAAGTTCTCGAGCTCGCCTATGAGGGGTCGCCTCAACATCGAGCCTGCCTGACGGTCGCTCAACCTCGCGGTGAATCGAGGTTTGATCTACACTTGATTCCAACAAACATTACAATACGCATGTGACTAAACTTAAAACCTACAATCACCTTTTTTTTAAAGAGAAAAAGAAGATAATAACAGATACTGGTCTCTCTTTATTACTAAGACTCCATCTTGAGATCCTGGGATAACCTCTCGTCTTATGACAATTCATAGTAACAAATTACCGAACCCTCTTCTGCAAGATGTCGAAGATTTCTAGGAAATGGAGGCATCTCAACATCCAAAACTCCTTCCAACATTTTCCCAACTTAAACCAATCGACGGCCTTTCAAGCTCAGAGTCCTGAATGCACGAGCAAGCAACTGTACAAACTCTATTGACGTCCAAAACATCAACGTCCCCCTCCAAATTCTCATCTATCAAGCTAAGAACTTCTCCATTGATAATTTCGTTCACAGACTTCACAGGAAAAAAAATCTAGTGCTTCCATCTTCATTAACTGTTGAATTTCTTCTACCAGATACTATTTCAAATAAGATCATACCACAACTATAAACATCGACTTTGGATGTGATCGGTAGCCCTTCAATCCATTCTGGTGCTAGATAGCCTATAGTTCCCCTGGTCGTTGTCAGCACTCGGCTAAAGTCATGGCCAAGGAGTTTTGCCATGCCAAAATCTGATAACTTTGGACAGAATTCAGAATCTAGGAGAATGTTTTCTGGCTTTACGTCACAATGTATAATGCATTCTCTACACTCTTTATGGAGATATGCTAGTCCCCTAGCAATTCCTAGTATGATTTGGTGTCTAGTCTTCCAGTTTAAGCACTTGATTCTTTTGGAAAGAGGTGTTGATCTAAAGGTCCCTTTGTCATGTAATCATAAACCAGTATCCTTTCACTTCCTTCGCAGCAAAAGCCGCGTAGACGTGCTAAATTAAGATGATGAATTTTGCCTAATGTTCCCAACTCATTTCGGAATTCCTTTTCTCCTTGTCGAAACCCTTCGAGTCTTTTCACAGCTACATAATCTAAATCAGATAGAATTCCTTTGAATACCAAGCCAAACCCTCCGCCACCGAGCTTTTCAGAGAAATTCTTCGTCACTCTTTGCAAATCACTGTAAGTATATGAAACTAAGGGACCCTCGGAGGTTTAGATGCTCTATGGTCTTTTCTTTGAAATACCCAAATCAATGTTAGAAAGGCTAACAAAACTATTCCTCCCGCTACACTTACACCAACCTTCGTAACTAATTTATTTCTTCTTTTTTGTGGGAGGTCAGAGGCTGCGAGCCTTAGGTGAAGCGTACCAACTCCCTTGTCATCTTCAGATAGTCTCTGAAGATTTCGAATGTCTCCATTCAAAATTGAACATCCATTGCCATAAGCGTAAGCAGCGCGCGAACAATTATTCAAGCAAGCCACTTCACATTCTTTATCACTAGTTGCTGCGAAAATCTGCGAATCTGCAGGTAAGAGCAAATTGGGTACCGCCAAAAATCCGTCTTTTTCTCCAGAAGTCGAGTTCCTGTAACTGCACTGCAGGTGGGTTTTCCTTGAACACCCTGAACTCCAACCTTCTAACTCCCACTCTCTCGTGGAAGTCGGTCTGAAACCACTTGGACAGCTGCACAGTGGTTTTCTGCTATGATCAAATATTCCAATAGTTCCACAGACTGAATAAAATATCACAACAAGAATAAGGCTGAGCCCAGACCAACACCCATCCTTGATTATAATTAAAGCACATCCACTGCTGCATTTGACCAGACGAGTGCATCACGTTTCGAGCAAATATCTCATCGGTGGAGAGGTTTAAGGTAAAATACCTGCGCTTGTTTTTATCAATAAATTTGTACTTGTAGACATTGTATATATGCATCCATTCCAGGTATTAAGGCGAAGGTTTTGGCCGTTCCATTCTCCACTTATCCAATAGCTTCTTGATTTGCTCCATAGGAAAATAAACTGGCGAAGGCCGCTGGGGTATATAGTGTTGGTGAAAAGCCCAGGAGATGGATCCTCGGTGTTCCTCCATGAAGTCTGGCTTTGGTACTCTCCCGTGATTTTATTCATACGTAGCCATCCTTTGGGCAGCCATGTATCAGTTGGATAACCAAAGCTCCGCCATAGTATAGTAGACGCGTTTGGTTGGTCTCTGAGAACAAGATTACCGGCATCAAGAATCACTGCGATGTTAGAAATGGAGGAAGATGATGATCGATGATGATAGTGGGGTCGAGTTAGATGGCCAAACTAGAAGTTTTGGACTGTGAGAGGAGAACTAGATTGCCATTTTTAGACGGTTTCAGCTGAGAAGTTGTGGGATTGGATGCTACCCATACAACTGTTTGTGTAGGGATGTTTTTGTACCATATGCCAATATAGTAGTTTTGAGAATTTCCTGGGGTGAAGAAGCCAAGTTCAAAGAGGATTCGGATCCTCTCCACTACAAAAAAAAACAGTAGAGGGACCACTACATAATCACGGCCATTGATTATCTAGTTAATGGTTGTGATTTTATCTTTTAGTGCAAATTAGGAATGAGTGCAATACACGGGGTATGGTAAGTGTTAGATTTAGATTGTATCATAACCGCCTACTAAATAATCAACGATTGAGATTAAAAGCAATGGTCTCTCCACTACTTTTTTGTAGTGGAGAGGATCCAAATCCGTTCAAAGACGCCTCTTTTGGAGGCTATGGTTTGGTTTCCAGAGATGGATTGGCCTTGGGAGATTATATCAGTTGCGGTGCAGATATTGCTGCCGAATGAGAGGAGAAGAAAGTATAGTGAAAATGAGGAAACATGAGCTTTGGATGAACGTTTGCAGGAGAATAATAACGTAGGGGAAATTATAATTAATTAAAGCAAGCACCCTGATTCCAGAAGTAACCACTTTTACTTGTCTTGTTCTAAACCTCGTAATAGTCATACCGGTGTAGTCGGATTTAACACACGTCAGCTGCGTATATTCTTTAATTATTGTTTTTCTTTGCTCTTTTTTTTTAAAGAATTATTGTCGATGTAAAAAAGCAGCTGAGAAAGACGGCCTTTCATCCAGGAGATGGAAGGTTTCATACGTGAGAACCGCAGATTTGGATTAAATGTGTTGTTAACAAAATATTGGACGATAATAATGAATAATCAGTAAAGTTGACTATTAACAAATAGTAACCATTGAAGTAATACAAGGCGCAAAAATCTCTTTTTCCTTCAATATAATTGTAATGGTCAAAGTCTATTAAAATTGAGTTGATTAGCAGCACCTCATTAGAATTTAACAAGAGTAGTGTAGAAATTTGCCTTCTATCCCGGAAATCAAAAGGAAAACTGAAGTTTCAAAAAGAAAAGATGAGATGAAAATTCCCGAGCAAAGACGGCCATAGGAAGTTGTCAATAATTGGCCTAAAGAGCTGTTGGCACCGCGGCATTGACGGTTAGCTTAAACACGTACAAAGCTTAGGCTAGTTAAAGGCACATAATTTTGATGTTCCGTACTGTACAGTACGAGATATGTTTTGTGTAGAAAACATGAGCCAACTGTTCCAATTTCTAAAGATTGAATATTTTAGGCTTTTAGGGAGTACTAAGTCCATCCAGCATTAGTTTTTTACACGGTGGAATTAGCTTAGTGTTTGGTGGGAAAATTGAGATTAAAATTGTATTATTCTCTCTAACAGACTTAGAAAAAAATGAGTTACAATTCTCTCAATGTAATCTCTCTCTAACAACTTAGAAAAAGAAATTACAATTCATCTTCGATCAGTTTCCCGATTTACAAAAGAAGGAAGGGATCTACGAATACCCTTCCCTTTGTTTAACCTGGGTTCTTCTTGGTGTCGACGAAGTTCAGATCCTTGTATCCCGTTGACTATCAGAACGCTTCAACTCGTGGTACACGGTTGATTTCTCTTCGTTGGACGTTGAGGAGAAGAACTTGCGAGGCAAATTTGTATAACTCTAACGAGTTTAAGAACTCAGAACGAGTTTAAAACTCTTTGAAAAAGTTAATTTGATTCAACCGAAATCAGTTTACAAGCCAAGAAATTGCTCCAAAAGCTTCAAAGATCCGAACTCTCTGTTGCCGAAGATCTCTTCAAAGCTCTTTTCTCTCTTGATCCGTTCAAGAATATCTGCCCCCTTTTGCCGAGATGATTTTCATGATCTGACAAAAGATCTCTTTTAAGCTGATTTTTCAGCTATTTATAGGCGTTTAAGGGGTGTAACCGCCCATTAAATCACTCCATAATGGGGTGTAACTGCCCCCATTAAGTGGAAAGCGGTTTTGGAACCGTTTAACTCGTGTTTAAACGAGTCAAACACAAAATTCGCGTTCTGGGAATGCACTTTGCATCTTAAGCTTTGGGCACTGAGTTGAGCTCTGCGCTTGGTGTTGAAAACGCAATGGTGAACACTACGTTTTGCTCTTGCTCTGCGTTTGGAGTTTGGAACAAGGCCACGAGCTTTGCGTTTTGAGACTGGAATGCGGCCACGAGCTCTGCATTTGGAGTCTGGAACGCGACCACAAGCTCTGCGTTTGGAGTCTGGAACGCAGCCACGAGCTCTGCGTTTGGAGTCTATAACGCGACCACGAGCTCTGCGTATGGCTTTTGGGACACAAAGATGAGGTTTGCGTCTTGAATTGAAGAGACTATTGACTTATAGTCTCTCTAGAGCGTTGCGAAGATCGTCATCTTGTAATCTCCGTCTTGGCTCTTTGGAATGTGAGAGTCGTCAGATTGTAACTCTCGTTGTTGGTTGTAAAAGCTGTTGAATCAAAACTTACATCGGTTGTTGTGAAGACCGTCGAATTGTAATATTCATCGATCTATGTGAAAATCATCAGAATGTAGTCTTCGTCTATTGACATGAAAGTCGTCTGATTGTAACTTCCATCATCAGTGTTTGGCAAGGATCAGCTATTTGCAGTAATTCTCAGACAGCTTACAATTAGCTCATGCAGCTATAAATCAGCACAAAGACAAGCGCAAAATGTTTACAGAGCAAAATACAAAGTACAGAACTTTAATGAGGATGCAAATGCGGGTTTCACAGAGATCAATCCTTCAACATTACAATCCTTAATCAAGTAACTTGAGTAACTTAACGATGAACAAGCAAATAAATATTGGTGGCATCAGCCTGTACAAGCATCAGCAATCCTGAATAAAATGATACGAGTCAAACCAGTGTTGACGAGCAGACAGTAATATTTTCTACAGAATACAAAGACAACCTTGCTTGTGCCTACATATGAGCTCTTAAAGCTTTGGTTTAGGATCCTTGTTTCTTGGCATCCACTTCCTAATAAGAGCCTCTTGAGTTGATGATACAATAAGCTGTATATGCAACGTCATTTCAAGATTTTAGTATGGAGCAGTCAGTCCTTGTAGTGAAAACAAATTGAATTACCTCTCCTTGGCGATTAAACATGCGACCATAAGTAAATCCACGGCCCCCATAGGCATTGTAGCCCTCTATCTACAGAACAGGAAACTGCAATATGAATATGACCATGATACAGTTTTAAATCTGCAATAGATCTAAGAGGTAATATACTAACCACATATAGCAGCCAGTCATCCGCTCTGGCAGGCCTATGGAACCACATCCTAAGCACAACAGAACAAACATAAAAAATGGATGTCACAGAAGATACAGTACTGGAGTAGTATACATTTCTGTATCATGTGTTGTTTATGATTCCTTTGTGAAAAGAAGATTTTGGTCGAAATGAATTATAGTTTCTATACTAGAACCTGAGCTCGGGTTGAACCAAGATAAGGTCAAACAGGAGGGCTCAAGACAAAATCTTTGGTATGAGGATACAAATGCTTAAGGAAAGGGATGCTGTATGATTGCCACGTGAATGAGAGTATCAAATTATTTCCAGCTCCTTTGCAAGAGCATGCGGAGAAATATGGATCTCTTAGTCAAAAGTATGGCGTACATGCATCAAATGAAAGAGCATGCATCCACCAATAATTGTACAAGATAAAATGTATTCACATTACTGAAGAATAGCAGATGATGCTGATTGATAGAAGTCTGAAGGACATAACAGGTTAAATATAGAACATAAAAATAATCTGTGAAAGGAAGTCTCTTTCTACAGTTAAATAAGATAAAGTTTGTCGACACATACGCATGATCCAAACTGAGTGATGTTGTCTTCTGACCCTTCCGGCGGTGAGGATCTAGACTAACACCGCCAAATATAAAATCTGAAGCATATGCTATAACACATCTGCAAAACTCAGCAAAACTAATTAAATTTAAGCGAACTCAGAATTAAGAATAATTCAGCTTAAAATTAACACAAAAGGAGTCTAAAAGAAAGAATAACATAACTCTGATTGTTACATTGCAGTTATTCTCACAAGTACTGGCTAGAACATGCACATAGGTGAATAAAATTTTCCTTCTGTAATACACTTTTTAACATAGCATTTTGCAATTGATTTAGATTATTGTCTCCTTTATCTTTTACATCCAGGTAATCCTAGAAACTTGTTTCAAACTTAGACTAGCTGGTTGTGTTCCCATCAAGTTTTGCTGGTCACAGTATGCTACTCTACAGCTGAAGAGCTCACTTTCCTCCAATGATAAATGGTACCATTTGTCGTAGTATAGCTGGCTACAGAAGCAACAGCTTTCACAAGCAACATTCATTAAACCAAGTGTTTGTCTGAAGAAGAAAATCAAACAAAATGGAGAAATGAAAGGAGAAGGGGAAAAAGAGCATCTTTCCGCATAATAGGTCCACTGGACACACTGGGCGATCTTTATCTGGAAAGAAAGATAAGTGTTTACTGATTTGAATTTATTTAGGTCCAGCTATTCTGATTAAAATTTTTGGATGTTTTTAATGTTCTTGGTTTAAGAATATCAGGATTCTAGTCACTGAGGTTCTAGAATATAGTTTATTCTGAACCAACAATATATATAAAATGTTTCAGTCTGAATTTTACCATGACATACAAACTTAATGTAACAAGATGAAAAGTGACATCAACTCAAGAGAATCAACCTAGATCTCAATAAAAAATAAAAGTTCAAAAGAAACAACAATTGTGGAATATAATTATAGTACTTAAGAACTCATTGAATAATATCCATCTTTTCCCTTCTTCTAGACTTTTGTTAGGGGTATGGAGAGAGCTCCTGCTCGGCACATACTTTCTACAAGTAGCAACTCAGCATGTTTAAGAGAAGGTGTAGGTTTACTCGCTAGTTGATGAGTTGGTCAAATGATTCATGAACCCTTGTGCTAATTAGCTACCAAAATGATTGGGAAAACTACCATTTAAGAGGAGGATTTCAATTTAACTAAAAAAAACAGGAGCTTGAATTTCCATACTTGTTAAATTTTCAGGAATTTCTTTCAAATGTGGTGGAAGAGAAAGTGTCCATAGAAAAAAAAGCAAAATTGGTATGTGTTTTTTGTTGGTTTATGTTCTTTAGTTGTTTCAGTTGTGTCTAGAAGCATATCTTGCACTTGGACAACTAACGTGGTCTTGGTTATATAGCTGTTAGCTCAGTATATAACCAGATAAATAACAGACAGGACAACAACAAAAATAATGATAATACTACTAAGTAAAGGATGATGATGATAGTAACAATAACAATATCAATAACATCAGAGGTTTCCCCTCTGGCATTATAAGACATCTCATCCTTCCCCAGTCCCTATTATCCTTGCCAGTAAACTCCCTGAATCTTTGTGCCATCTCAGCATGACTCAGCCTTGCCTAAACTAATCATATTTGTGCCTGTTTCTTCTTCCCTTTTTGTGCTCTATTTTGGGTATTGTACTTCTATTGTTGTTTATACACATATAGTGTCGGTTCTTGTCGCTGTGCACAAAAACAATCAATAAGAACATAACATCAGGTGTCAAAGAATAACAGAAAGTGTGCCGGAAAGGAGCTACATTCACAAGTGCTGATTCCATTAGCCCACAGCAGTGATATGTCAAAGAAATAGTTCAACTATGGAGAAGATATAAAGAAGTGCACTTAGAATATATTCAACAAAGCAAAAATCTGTGTTATTTAATGTATTACATAACACATCCACCAAGCACATAATCAAGATGATATACAGCATGAAAATGCAAAGCCAAAGCGCTGAAGTATCATGAGTCAGATTGCTTACCTATGCAAAGCTGGGTCATCAGAAAGCTTTCCTCTTGCTCTAAACCAATAATTTGAACTGGAAAAAAACGGTTGATTCTAACAAACAGTAAGATATCTTGAAGCTTCTTTCAAAATGATAAAGGACAATGAATATGTTACAATTAGTGTAGGAACATTTGGATCTAACCGTGGTGGAAGAGGACTAGGAGGATTGATATCACAAAATCGTATCTCTATGGGCCATGGAACAAATCTTTTTTTAGCAACCCTATTTCGGTAAGATCTGATAAAATCAAGGTGTTAGAATCCTTTGGAATCCAGAACTTCAAAATAAAAGCGAAATGATAACCCAAGTGGGTGTGTTCAAGATGAAATTCATTTATGAGATATTGGTATTTTATACCGGAGAGAAAATACATATCTTGAGGAGGACTTAAAGGATGCAAGCAGAACACAAATCTGAACTATTGATCACATATTAATTTTATTCAACACGACTAACATAACAGTAAATTTTGGCTCTCCTGATAGAAAATAGAAACCAAACAAGTGTGGTACACAGAGAATGACATGTTTAAGTATGTCCTGATAATAGATGGCTGAAATACTTCTTTACGTAGTAAAAAAACTCAGCAAGGCACCATAGTGTATTATGATTTGGAAAGGCAAAGAAGAACTGATGATGAGATTAGAAACAAAATTCACCTGTTTGGTATAAGAAAAGTTAACTGAAATATCCACTAAATCTTAAAAACTACTTTTGCCAGAGCAAGTGAATTTGGCTGCATGTTAGACTGAATGTAACAAATTAAGATATCTAAAGAAACCTATAAACGGGTGCTTTTCACATGTAACACCATAACAGCATAACAGAAGAAAGAGCTCCTTATATCGTATCAATAATCAACAACATTAAGGCTCCATTCCCATATAAATAAAGATGCTTTTCCTAAATCTATCACCAGTATGTATTTGTACTAAATTAAAAAACCATCTACAATATATGATAATCATGGAGCACATCACAAGCAACCAATCCAGATAGATGAAATTGGCCCTGTATAAGTCACTTAACATATGCTGCTTTTGTAACCAGTTGATAGTTGTTCAGCAGATATTTCTCAGATTTTATCCAAACATGGCAGCAAGCTCATTCATGGAAGGGAAAAACCAACAAATACCTATATAAATATATAATTAATAACATTCGAAATTCCAATGAAAATTACATTGGAAGACGAGGATCAGTGAGGTGTCTGTCTCGTAGCTCTTCCATTGATGGTAACTACATAAGAAATTAAATGCCATTCAAATATCACTAGCTTTAAAAACGATAAAACGAATGAAAAGGACATACTTACTGTCTCTGGAGCTGGAACCTGAGGCATTAAACTTTCTTGATGTTCAAAACCTACTTCTTCTTTCTGCAACAGAAAAGCATGACACAATTTATATACACAGCTGAATTAGCATGCTCATTCGCACCTTAGAGCTTATACTAAATAGGGGTCAACTTATAGTTGCGGTTGAATGATTGAATACCATGTCCAAGACATATACAATAAAGGACATGTACGATGCTACAGCCCTCCGTGGCTATAATACTTATCCTTTACGTTTCATAACAATAAAGTGCCTAACTTTTCTGATGGTTTAATGATAAAATATATTACAACCAACTTTCAGCCTCAATAACGCACTGGCATACTTTTCATAAATATAACATTAAAGATAGCTAGTTATGATCTCGAATACAAAACATATTAATCAGGTACTATCTTTGATGGATGAAGACACTAAGCAACATATACACATAATTCTAGAACGATTAAGATATTACAGGAGCTATATCATAAGCATATGCAAAAGTTGCAATACCTTACAACATATGAAATTATAACAAATACAAAATCCTCATTACACACAATGGTATATTGCTTTTCTATTGTAGCTAGCAATCTCTACCAACATTCCAAGTCCCCTTGTAATGGCTCTTTGAATCTCTGTCACAAGCCCCTAGCTGAACAATAATATCTTTAACACCAGCATACATTCCTTATAATCCTAACTGAACAATAATATCTTTAACACCGGCATACGTTCCTTATAATCCTTAACGCTATTTCATGAACCATGAGTAATCCCCAGTATCCCCTTTAATATAATACCAGATAAATCTCGACATCATACCTTGACCTTAAGCATATTTATTTTTATTCTACGACATCATTCTGAAATTTCAAGAAGCTTTAGTAGTTTAAATTGTGTTTTTAAGTTCATAGGGTTTTTTTTAACAAATTTCATTAAAATTTTACTGTGACACTCTCACTTTAGTCCTGCATGGACTAATGTGAAGAAATGTTAGTGGTTTAAATAGAGAAAATCCCAAGGCTCAAGAACAACTAGTGTTAGCATTTTGGTAGTGAACTTTAGCCAACATCTAGTTGCTCTTGGTGGGTCACATGGCTTGCACGCGCCAACGGGTCCGTGGCCCGGGGCATGACAAAATGGTATCAAAACAGTTGCCAGTAGGAAGTGTGAAGCTAAGTGTTATACGGTGCTAAGTGCTACACCGCGTGGATGTTAGGGAGCCACCTCTAGAGCCCGTAGGAGCCACCTCTAGAGACCACATCACCTGGCAGTGACACTGATGTGTCAATTGTCATGTTGTGATCACGAGGACGTCGTCTTTATAAGGTGACGTGATTGTGGTATCCCCACTTTACTCTCACATGGACTAGTATGAAGAAATGTTATTGGTTTAAATAGAGAAAAGTCCAAGGCTCAAAAACAACTAGTGCTACCATTTTGGTAGTGGACTTTAGCCAACATCGAGTTGCTATTGGTAGGTCCCATGGCTTGCACGCGCCAACGAGCCCGGGACCTAACAATTACAATTTCTTATGGAAATATGGTTAATAAGACTTTCTCTATAATTTTATCATCTATCTGTTAGTTAACCCTTTCTTTGTTGAGGGCTCAACTTGTCACTAAAAGACAAGCCATTAGAGGGTCTTCAAGCAAAAGAAACAACAAAGGCAGCAGCAACAACAACAAGCAGAAGCAGAAAAGGCGGTAGAGGTGATCTGATCGGCCAGTATACCAATAGTGGGGTTGGGCGGTTTGACCGCCCAGTCAGACCACATGACTATCTGAACACGCGGTTAGACTGTTTTTGGGCATTTTCTGTAGCTTGAGTTCTATTTGGGCCTAGTTTCCTAGCTATTGTTGGACCCATGAAGTCTACCCTAGCTATTGTTAGACCCATGAAGTCTACCCTATTTAAAGGGTGCTTTCTGAGATCTAGGGTTTTAACCCATCAGGTTTATGCGCGAGAGAGAGGCTAAGATAGAGAGAAGAATAGAGATGAATTCTTGTGGGGATTTGCAAGCTAAGGTTTGGGAGATCTTGTATTCTTCTTCTTTCCAATAAAGTTCTTCTTGAAAAAGTCAATAACTCCCCTCCCATTCTCTCATGGATGTAAACAAATTGCCAAATCATGTAAATATCACCTTTGTTCTTGCTTTTATGATCGCATGCTAGTTTTTTCATTTGTGATATGGTTTGTTGATTACTAAAGGTTCTACATGAACTCTACAAGCTTGGTTGGATTTATAATCAATATCCAACACTTGGTGTTAGAGCTGAAGGTTAAGCAGTTCAGTTCATCATGGATTCAATAACGCTAATAAGGTTGTTTTAGGAACAGGAAGAGTCAAAAAAGGAGTTGAAGGCTATGGCGACTGCCAAAATACCATCTCAAACGAAGTACGACATGGAATGTTTTGACGGCAAGGGGAATTTCATGCTAGCAAAGGAGGATCAATGCGCTTTTAGTGAAAGAATGTATCATGAAACTCCTAAAGGGAAAGCCGACGAAGCTTGCAGACATGGATGATGAAGATTAGGATGAACTCGATCTTAAGACTATGAGCACCATTTAAGCTTGTTTGGCAAATCATATCATGTACGGCGTAATGTCAGAGACTATAGCGAAAGGTGTTTGGAAAAAGCTTGAAAGTATCTATATGGAAAAGAGTTTGTTGAACAAATTTTACATTAAAAAGTAACTCTACAAGCTTCAGATGAAAGAAGGTACGCCGCTTCTGTCACATGCATGTGTTTGACAAGCTTATAGGAGATCTTTTATGCTTGATGTAAATCTGAAGAGGATAAAGCACTAATTCTTCTCGCATCACTCATATATTCATATGAGCATTTGGAGGCAATGATCATGTACGGAAGAGATACTCTTAATTTGGAGGAAGTAAGGGCTACTCTTTTGAGCAATGAAGTTATGAGGAAGTCTAGAGCTAATGAAACTACTCCATCTGGGTTGATCATCCAGAAAAGAGGGTGAAGCAATAATAGAGAAGGAAACAGATCCAGATCCAAATCCAAATAGAGGGCTTCCATTCATGATGACAGTGGTTGTTTCTTTTGTAAAAGGATGGGGCATATAAAGCATTATTATATTAACTATATGCAATAGCTAGAATGGAAGGAAAGATCACCAAGTAACAGTGAGAAGACAGATCAAGCCAGGATAGCTCAAGAAGCGGAGGAGAACGAGAAAGAATGCAATGTGTTGACTGCATCTACCAGGAAGGGCGCTTACTCTGATATGTGGATTCTTGATTCGACATGCACATATCATATGTGCTCTCACAAGGAGTGGTTTGACACTTATGATGAATACAATGGTGTGACAGTTGTTATGGGGAACACATCTACTTGCAAGATAATTGGCATCAGCAATATTAAGGTGAAGATGTACTACAAGATGGTACAGGCTTTAACTAATGTACGACACACTCTAGAGTTGAAGAACTTATATCTCTAGAAGCACTTGAGAATGCGGATACAAGTTTGTGGGTAAAGGCACAACACAAAAAGAAATGAAAGGGTGATAGTTTATCTCAAAGGTGAGAGAAGGGCGAACTTGTATAGGTTGATCGGAAGCATGATGACAGGTGAAGCTTCGATCGGAACAACAAAGAAACAAGTGGAGGATACATCAAAACTTTGTCATATGCGTCTGGGAGACATGAATGGAAAAGGTCTTCGGGTGCTACACGAGGTGAGCTTTACTACAGCAATACACAAGACAAAAAATTTATTGGACTACATTCATTCAAACGTATAGAAGCCTGCATCAACAAGGTTCAAAGGCAGTGCAGAGTATCTCATCGCGTTCATCGATGACTTCTCACAGAAGGTATGGGTTTATTTTCTAACTTATAAATCTCAAGTATGTCAAAAGTTAAAGGAGTGGTGGAGAATCAAACATAGCGACAAATTAAGTATTTAAGGACAAAGAATGGGGGTGAATACACCCTGAAGGAGTTCAAGCAATTCTCCATTTAATAAGGCATGCAACATCAGCTCAGTATCAGGCCAACCAGAACAAAACGGGGTAGCAGAGCGTATGAATCGAACACTAATGGAGAGAGCTAGAAGCATGAGATTACCTGACAAAGAGCTTCTGGGCAGAAGCGGTGAATCATGCATGCTATTTGGTAAATCGTACATCATATACTGCTATCAACCTTCAGATTCTAGAAGAGGTATGAACAAAAGGGACGGTTGGTTATGATTCCGTGAGTATTTGGGTGCCCTACCTACATTCTGGTGGTGGATAGGAACAAATTGGATGCAAAGTCAACTTCATCAAGTTTCAAAACGTCAAGGAGGTGAAAGAGCATTCAGTGGACATAGAGATTATTGGTTCATAGCAAGTTAAGAATACAAACATAAGAGATGCAATACATGAAGGAGATGTAGGTGTAGACGAGCATATAGTTACAAGTGGTGATGACTGACGAGGAACTCAACCCTAGCAGGAGCATTCTATAGCCAGGGACAACAGACGAGACCCACAAGATACCGATCAGGTATGGTTCGGAAAGATCAAGTGGCATTTGCTCTAGTATGAACAGTGGTGATTCGAGCACTTATAAGAAAGCACTCAACAATAAGGACAGAAACAAGTGGATGAATGTCATAACAGTGGATATGGAATCTCTTTGAAAGAATTAGACATGGGATCTAGTCAGACTACCGAAAAAGTGAGCTATAAGATGCAAGTGGGTATTCAGATAGAAGGCCAATGAGCAGTACAAGGCATGTCTCGTGGTGAAGGGGTACGCTCAAAAGATGGGGATTTACGACAAGATATTTTCTCCGAAAGTCAATCATATGTGGATCCGGGTGTTGTTGGCAATGGTAGTGGAGCATGATAAGGACTTGGAGCAGCTTGATGTGAAAAAAACATTTCTACATGGAGAGCCTGAGGAAGTCATTTATATTAAGTAGCTTTACAGACTGAAGCAATCGCCAATACGGTGGTACAAACAGTTTGACTCATTCGTGTTGGCAACGGGATACACTCGATGCGAGTATATAGCTATATTTATTTCAAGCAATACAGTGAGGGAGCATTCACATACTTGTTGTATATGGATAACATGTTAATTGCAACGAGATGTTAATTGCAGCGAGAAGTAAGAGATTCAAAGTTTGATGGCTCAGTTGGGCAAGGAATTCGACATCAAGGACCTAGGCAAATCTAAGAAGATTCTTGAGATGGAAATTTATCGAGACAATACAGCGGGAAAGTTATTTCTATCCTAACGAAAGTATGTTGAAAAGGTGATTGAAAAGTTTAACATAGTGAAGATGAAACCAGTGAGCATGGCTATTGCCGGTAACTTCATATTATCCTTGTATTTATGTTCGAATATAGACGAAGACAAGGAAGAGATGTCTTCGGTGTTATATGCAAACACAATAGAGACAAAGCTGGAGTTATCATACACGATGAGTTTGGTAAGCAGGTACATGTTGAACCCAAGAAGTCTCATTGGGAGGCGGCGAAGTGGATACCACGATATCTAATAGGTACAACCGACTCGAGCATTTATACAAAAATGTGCAAGGGAAGCTAAGTGAGTTGAAGGGATAAGTTGATGTAGATTACGCATGTGACCTTAATTATTACCTTCAACATGCGAAATCTACATCAACTTATCCCTTCAACTCACTTAGCCCTTCAACATGTAGGCCAGTATTACTGACATGGCCAGTATTACGCATGTTGAAGGGCCAGTTGATGTAGATTACGCATGTGATCTAATAGGTACAACCGACTCGAGCGTTTAATTATTGCCAGAAGCAGAAAAACGATAACGAAACAGTAGGCCAGTATTACCGACCTGTCAAACCGGCCGGTCTGACCAATCCCTTCAACTCACTTAGCCCTTCAACATGTAGGCCAGTATTACTGACATGGCCAGTATTACGCATGTTGAAGGGCCAGTTGATGTAGATTACGCATGTGATCTAATAGGTACAACCGACTCGAGCGTTTAATTATTGCCAGAAGCAGAAAAACGATAACGAAACAGTAGGCCAGTATTACCGACCTGTCAAACCGGCCGGTCTGACCAGCCGGTATACCGACATGGTGTTGGGCAGTCTGATTGCCCGGTCAGACCACATGACAGTCCGACCGCTCGATCAGAACGTTTAAAGTATTTTCTGCAGCTTAAGTACTATTTTGATCCAGTTTTCTAGCTTTTGTTGAACCCACAGATTCTACCCTATTTAAAGGGTGATTTCTGAGATCTAGGGTTTTATCCCATCAGGTTTATGCTTGAAAGAGAGGCTAAGATTAAAAGGATAAGAGAGATCAATCTTCGTGAGGATTTGCAATCTAGGGTGTGAGAGATCTTGTATTATCTTTCTTGATAAAGTAAAGAACTTTCATCTCATTCTCCCGTAGACATAAGCAATTTGCCAAACCATCACATCTTTGTTCTTGCTTTTGAGACTGCATGCTAGTTTTTTGTTTGTGATTTGGTTTGTTGATTGCTTAACCCACGTAAACTCTAAAAACTAGGTTGGAGTTCTGATCAGTGATCAATATCTAACATTCTTATTAGTCAAAAATAAGATTAACTTAATGATTTTCTCTCAAGCAGAAATTTGCACCCAAATTCTATTATGAAAGGACTCTCCATTAATTTTCCAAAATTCACATTACATGTCCAAAGAGTTTTAAACTGTATCTAGTATCCTTATCAGATTTGATCCTTCCAAGCCTATAAAACTTCATCAGCCAATTGGTCCTTTATAACAGGAACAAATAAACTGATTTCTATGAAAGATGAATGCACCCCATGATCACCAACATCAACCACCCACCATGATGGTTTTTGGTGATCCTCTCCCCTCAGTCAACCATTTTTTAGATGCACAGAATAAAATGTGCTTTGAGCAAAGGGAAAAATGTTTCATACACTAATCTCTTCATGTTCTTCATGCACCTCATGAAATTAACTAAGCAACCTCTGATGTAGATAGCCTTCATCTGGAAAACTCACAAAGAGTATATGAAGAAAAGAGGACATAAGAAAGACATAAAAGGTTACCGTAGTAGCTACAGTAACTGCAGGGGGGAAAAGATATGTTAACATAGGAAACAGATTCTTGAAAAGTTAGATTCCTTTCAAACAGGTTTCACTGAGATAAAGAAGCAAAGGTTAGATCATTCGAAGACAATTGAACTGACATCTTTATTGAGTTTTCAACCCATCACTGAGATACTTATGCCTACTTGATCACCAAGTCACGGGCTCCACAAACAGTTTGCAAGGTGTTTCAGCCATAATATTAATCACGCAAAAAATCTCTCTTTTGCCTTAATTGTATGATAGTTAGCATCTCTTTTTCTTTCCTGCTTATGATCTTCTTGCACCTCATGGAGTTAATTATTCCTTCTTACACAATTCTTTTCCGATCCACTCCCATCCTGGATTACTTTTGAACTAGTTTATCTCTCAGTTGCCAAAGTGAGCCTTAGATTCTTTTGAAGCAGGGTTCAGTGAGATATGGAAGCAAAGGTTAGGATCTTTTGAAGACAACTAAGCTGTCATCTTCATTGAGTCTCTAACCTCTCCATGAGATACTTCCGCCTCCTCGATCACCAAGTCATCGGCTCGACAAACAACACCAAAACTCCGAAGTTGTGCTGAGAGTTGAGAATATAATTTTATATTCTCACATGCCCACGTAGATTCAGCTCTAATTTCATGAGCCTAAATCTGGACCCACACAGAGGTATCTATTTTATTTAAATTCCTCTCTCTTTAAATGCATTGACAGTTGAATTTGTACTGGGTTGCTCTGGTAGCATAAAGAATCCTGCCATTACACATAAACTCCGAAGTTGTGGGATGGTTGAGGATATAATGTTATACTCAATGCAACCACTATCTTAATCATGCACAATAATGTATCTGTGGCCTAAAATTGTATGATAGTCCTCATCTCCTTTTTCTTCGCTGCTCAATTCTTCTTGAACATTACTGAAAAAATCCCCACCTCATTATGGTTACTAACTATCATCTATTAGATCTTCAAGAAAACTATTACCCTGTAACTCATAACCACACACGTGGACTTCAGAACATAACAGAAATGATGTGAAAAGTTTTCTAGGGACAAAATCTGAATGCATTTTCTTTTACTCATAGCCACATTGGATGCAGCTTATAGGTGATGGCCAGCACATATTTACAAGCATGTTCAATAATGATATTCTAGATGGTACCACAGAAATTACCTGAAATGATACAATCAAACTGAATATGACAACACCATGTTGTTTTGCATCAACTTGCCGGGTTGCAAAGCTTCTACCATCACGTCCACGGTGAACTTGATATATAATTGGGGCTGCATAATGAGTTTATATACGGATAAGATAAAGGAATTTTAGAAGCTTGCAATTTTAAATTTAGAAGGATCATCACATTCAATGCTAAACAAGTACTTCATCAAACAAATAGTCAAACTTGGAATAGTAACATGCCAATGTTTATTAAAATTTAGCAACCACTATGGTCTTGAAGAAAACTGTTTCTGCAGCATTCATTTATAATTAACTGAATATTTTTTATCAGAATAAACTGCAGCTGTGTTATTATTCAAATAATCTCATACAAGGAATCTTTTGATTGCAAATAAAGGTTTATGTGTGTGTAATATAAGGCACTTTGGCCAGCATAAGTCTTAGAGATTGGTACAATTCCCAGTGAAAAATCCATCAGCATACCCTTTAGTTTAGACCTCCGACTAATGGAATTTGGAAGTTGGCCCTCAATAGCATGAGATTAATTGAGTGAATAATAATGCGAATATCCAACCAGTAAATTTCACCAATTTCATAACATGCAAGAATGTTACTTGAAATGCATCCAGTAATGTTCTTGTACCTCTGTTTCAATACATAACATGTTTATCCCTCTCCTTTCCAATATATTGCATATTGTACCCTCCTTTACCTATATCAACCCTCTTTTTCCTTCTTTTTCAATATATTACATATTTATTCCTCTCTTTTCCTTTATCAACTCCTGTTTAACCCTACGAATTTATTGTCTCGTCTCTTGCAAATTGCCAGATTTTCATGTCATCAACTCATCTCTTGCAATCTCTGGGTTTCATCTCACCACTCAATCAACCCAATAGGGTATTCAACAAAATCATCTCACAAATATTTTACACCTACTCTCTTTTTTCCCTTTTGTCTCCATAATGTTATGTTACCTAGGTACTTCTACCGGGAGTCGTGCCCATATCCCACACGTATTGGTACACGTATCGAAATTTCGTGGACGCTTCTTGAATATATGCATACATTTATTCAAGTGCATAATTAATTATATAATACATGTTTTAACTTAAAACATTCCATGCACTTTCTTGGACATTTGATAATGTAAATGAAAAAACAATATCGATCTCATGCAAATTATTAATTTTAGTACATATGAACATATATATCGTCGTGTCCTCGTACGCTACTTTTTACAAAGTTACCGTGTCCCGTACCCATATCCGTACCTTTACTAGTACACATACCAATGCAAAGCCATAACATATTTTCCATTGTGTTCCCTTGTCACTAATTAGTGTTTCTTCGATACTCTTTATGAAATGTACCAGACATTAACCAAAAAAACTGTGCATTGAAGCTAGAGCAATTACTCGCTGATTGAGCAAGTGAGTTCCTATTTTGTCTCCAAGCAATGACCTGCTAATTAAGCAAGTATGTTCCTCTTTTGCCTTCAGCCAATGACTCGCTAATTGAGCAACTATGTTGTAATATTAATAGCCAACGACTCGCTAATGGAGAACTACTTATGATTCTCGGTTGTACCAAAATTAGTGTATTAACACGAGAAAAGTATATGGCAAAGGAATACTAAATAAACATGACTAGTGAAACAAAAAGGACTATAGGTATAACTAGCAACAAATTTACATTACCATTATTATCACCAGCCACAATAAAAGAAACATGCAGACTGTGTACCAATTTTAGACAATCCACGGTCTTAGACGCTGCTGCCACTGCCTACAAGATAAGTAGATGTAATAATGGGCATAAGAAATATACAGACATGGTATTATATATACATAAATTGCGGGATTCTTCCTTGAACCGGTACGCATATGTACAAATATAACAAATTGTTACCAACATGCAGCAGTTTCCACATTTTCTCTGAAACTTTAAACCTCATGACCACAATGCGACAAAGTTGTAAGTATGCAGAGCATGACATGATACATGCTTAAGTTGCAAGGTTTAATATTCAGCATTATTGCATAATACAAATAGCCGACAGATGTTGCTGATACAGCAGCAGTATATCCTCCAGAACTGTGAAGGTCATGAGCAAAGTACCACAAAGTTGTATTCGAAATAAGCATAGCATGAGATGGTATGTGATAAATTGAAGGCTGTAATAATCAGCATTGATGCTAAGATATAAACAGTCCAAAATACAGAAGATGCCCTATTTCCTCCTAGATTGAGGCCCATGAGCAACTGAGTGAGGTGCCACAAAGTGGTATTAGAAGTATGCAGAGATACATGCATAAGTAGCATGCCATAATGTTAAGCAATTAAGCTTAGACGTAATAGTAAAGGACTTGTTGTTAAGACAAAGCAGCTGCCTTGTCTATGAACTTTGAGTGCCGTGAGCAGAGTACCACTTATAAAATTCTAATCACATAAAAAGCAGAATTGCCACATTTTCATGCCTTGGTCCCAATGAACTTTCTCAGATCACTGGGCGCCGTCAAACATAAATGGGCACAGATCTGAGTCCAAAAAGAAGCTCAAGACTAAACCATGGTCATGCCCAGCTCTGTGTGGTCCTTATCCATTATATGCGGTGAAGATGAAAATAGAATAGAAACATTTGGTTGTCCTGGTCACATCCAGGTCGTAATGGAACTTACATGCATATGCAGATGCCTATGTACCAACATATCAGCGTACATATACTGTACCAGACAAGGCACAATAGGATCCATGAAACAAGACAATATAGTTCCATAGATTAAACCTGTAACCCCACAACCAACTTATGAAATCAACAAATAAGGAACCAAGACCTAAACACACATAAAAGTCCTGATTTATGCCCCTGTCAAATGGTACCCAGACCCAAGCCGCCCTGAGTATCCAACTAAACTTACAGGGTTAATTTAATAGGTTGCTCTCAGGAGTATCTGCATGGTGCATACTTTTTGCCAAAGATACATTACAGTTGAACGGAATGAATGCAAAAGACATTAAAAAAAACCAAATATGCAAATACTAAATAATGATTGTTTGTCAGAAATCTTAATCATGATTATGGTCAATTCTCTAGTTATGTAGTATTTTAGTCTTTAGATTCAATTTTTTATTGTAATGGTCACCTTAGATGCTGTCTAGCAATGGGCCAACAGCTAACTGAGGGGTTAAGGAGAGTTAACTCTTCTTAACATGCCAAACTTAAAATATACACATGAAGTAAGTGAGTTAACCCTCTTAATTTGCCCAATGTAAAAGTTACAAAAGGATTAACAATAAGCCATCTAGGTAGTTAAAACAGTTAGCCCCATTAAATGAGGGGTTCACAAAATTCACTTCTATGGAAGGGTTAAGAACTAACCCTTCATTAATTGAAATGGCTATTAACCATTTCCTTAATCAATTGTCCTTAAAACTTTTTAAACGGGACCTTAATATGAACGTAACCCCATATGTCAAATATATTGTCATCCCCATTAAAGAGAAAGAAGAAAAACAAATTTCCCACATCTTTGGACGCTCTCCAGGTTTGATGAAGGATTCTTAGTACAACATGACAAGTATAATTATAAATGTTCTTTTTCCTACCTATTAACTTTCTACGTGCTTCACAAGCCGCCCATGGCATTTGCAGAGGCTTGGAATGGCACCAGAGTACTACATATCATATTAACAGGCAGTTGTAAAATTCTGAGTAACTCGTTAATGATACCATCCTGAATGCTTTGAGAACCTACCAAACTGAATCTCTTTAAGTTGTAGTTGACCATCCTGATTATGGTACCATACAACCCATGGCCATGTGTATCAGTGTATGTGTGTGTGTGTGTTTACTAGAGGTTGGAGAGAGATAGAGAGGGAGGGAGGTTCACTTCTCAAAGAAGTAAACGAAAAGACTGCAATTGAAACTTCGTTCAAATATGGGAGAGTCAA